GCTGGAGCAGTTTTGGGGGGGCTAGAGGGTGACAGCGGGGCCGAGGCAGTTACGGGGCCCAGCAGGCTGCTCATGTTTCCCCTTACTCGTGCTCGCAGCAGGATGCGCCTGGCGGGAGCTGGCGGAGGAGCGGAGCGCTTGCACCGATTTCCCAGCTCAGGTCAGGGCTGCGCTGCCGATGGTTTAGCTTGCCCTAAGCCAGCCCGCTCAGCCACCCTGCATGCCCTATTCCTGGCGCTCCCTCCCGCTCGCCCCTCCGCCCAGCACGCAGGCAGCCCCTTCTTCTCTGGGTCTGGGTGTCTCATCCTCACGGCCCCAGGGGAGGAAAATAAACCATACCCAAAACATCACCAGCAGCCATTGCCCATGGTCTTTATTTTTATTTTTCCAGAAAAGAAAAAAACCACATTTTACGTAGTTGGTACAAAAACAAATTTTAAAAAAAAATGAAAGGAGGGGAAAAAACCCTGCAGCAACCGGAATATTGGATCTTGCTGCAGAGACTCCAGCAGGAAATCTGCTCTTTGGAAAGTCCGGCTTGGGTGTAACCCCTGAGCGGTGCACAGCCACCCCTTTTATCCCCCCTCCCCCCCACACCCACTTCATAAAAATTCAAGAGTTTGACACAAACAAGCTTTGGTTGCTAGCAGTAAACATGGAGTTACATTCTTCCGTCTCCTAGTAGACAATCTTGTGACTCAAGGCTTTTGCACCAGGGGAGAAAACATCTCTTGAGGGACATCTTTTCCTTATACATTCAGATGCTCCCATACTACACCTTGACCCTGAGTGTGCAGCCTTGTCCACCTGCAGTTCACGCTGTCCCGTAATGCATAGTGCCCGGCACCTGCAACCCTTGCATGGGCAGGGTAGGTGATGATGCAGCAATTTAGTAATTATTGTCAAGATACAGGAAGAACCACAAGAGCAAATGCAATGAGAAGATGCAAATCAAGAAATTCCATCTTTTCCAGTGTGGCTTCCCTTTACAGATAAAAATCCCTGTTTTTTTTTCCCTTGAATCCCGGTACCTTACTGGTCCTGAGGAAAACCTGAGCGATTCACTAGCCATTTACTATTTGCTTTAGTCTAGGACAGGGATGGTTACAGAAGTCAGCTCCCCACACAGGCAGAGTTGCAAGGCAGAGTACACAGAGAAGATCCTGTCTCCCTGGTCCAAAACCTATTAGATGCTTTGGCTATTTTTTTTTTCCTTTTTTTTTTCCCTCTTACTTTTGTAAACAATAATCGAGGAGAATACTGAGAGAAAATGGAGAGATTTACAGAGATATTTACACATACTAGACATCTAGCAGAAAGTCACCAAACCATTAAATTGGAGGGGGAGGGGAAAGGTTCTACATGATTCTTCAAGACAGAAACAAGAGTTAGGGGGGCAGCAGTTTCCCCGGCACAACCAAGGGGACACGGGAAGGCCAGCGGTCCCCCCGCAATGCGACAGCGGGACCCGAAGCCCAGGCTTAGACACGCAACCCAGTGCGCTCTATTGCATTTACCCCGTTCAGACAAAAGCGGTTATCCTGAAGCAGGTGCGTACAGATCCCACAGCTATTCAAGAACTAAAAGGCCTTTCCCCACCCTCCCAAAAAAGAGACCACCACCTCACCATAAAAACTACTGTAGCAGAGCAGGAAAGCAGCTAGGGGAGCGACTCTGTGCCCCGGGCACAGGTAGGGTTTGGGACGGTACGAAACGGCCTCAGCCACCCCCGCGGTGGGTCCTGTTGGCAAGGACGGAGCAGGTGCTCCCTACCTGTCCCTGCCCTGATCTACATCTAAACCTATCGCTACCTAAAAAACAGCAGAAACCGTGCCCGCGTTCTGGCACACCAGCCCGGCGAGGCGTCCTCCCCGGGGAAGGGCCCAGCCGGCCCCCGGGGCTGCGAGGTTTAACGCAGCATCGCCCTCCGCGGCCCAAAACCAGGAGCGCAGAGTTTCCCCCAGCCGCTGTGAGCGGACCCGTGTGCCCGAGCGCGAGCGCGAGAGAGAAGCAGAGGAGAGTCCTCAAAGACACCGGGCTGGGAGGAAATCTGGGGTTGGGGAGCCAACGCAGGCTCTAGCAGCTGTGCCCTTGCCCGTGGCACCGCCTGGCTTCTCCTTCCCCTCGCGCAGAGCTACAGCCCCAAATTCCTCCTCGGTCCAGTGGGGAAGGGAAAGA